TGAACTCAGCGTCCTGCTCCGGGGAGCTCTTCGGTTCCACGTGGGATCCCTCCCTCCGAATCAGAGATCTGAAACCGCCCCCCCGAAGGCACCCTCGCCCTCCACCCCCCGGCCAGTGAGTCCCCTGTCCTGCAGGTGGTCCACCGCGACCTGAAGCCCAGCAACATCCTCTACATGGACGAGTCCGGAAACCCCGAGTCCATCCGCATCTGTGACTTTGGATTTGCCAAGCAGCTGCGAGCCGAGAACGGGCTGCTGATGACCCCTTGCTACACAGCCAACTTTGTGGCCCCCGAGGTGAGGGGCCCCCGGGGTGGGGGGCAGACCCACCGGCTCTGCCAGGTCCACCTGCCCTCTCCCCCCGTAAGTGATGGGGTTCTGTGTAGCCAGGACGCCTAGAGGTGAGGACTAGCCAGCAGCGGAGGGTGCTGAGCCCCTCAGTGGTGCGTCTATAAAGACCACCGACGGGAAGACCCCTTGAAGTGGCTCTGCTCCCGGCAGGTTCTACCTGAGTCTGACTCCGGTTGCTGGTACGGCGAGGGCAGTGTTGCCAGGAAGGGTGGCTGACAGCGCACTAGGGTAGGGTCGGGTGGGACACTCACTCGTTCATTGTCATCTGAACCACCTCTCAGCCCACCTTCCTGGGGGTTCCTGGAAGCCTGCGCTCCACCCTCCTGGGCACTGTCCTGCGGTCGCCCTGGACAGAGGTATCCTCCGAGGGGCTTCTCTTAGAGAGACACCCACATCTCTGTTTCTCACTTCTAGGTCCTGAAGCGGCAGGGATATGACGCAGCATGTGACGTGTGGAGCCTGGGGATCCTGCTGTACACCATGCTAGCCGGGTAACATGCTGACCACGTTGGCGAGGGGGTGGGCTGACCACCAGGGCTCCGTCTTTTACACACCGTGCTGGCCAGGTGACAGGTTGACCACCCGGGACTCTGTCATTTATACACCATGCTGGCCAGGTGACAGGTTGACCACCCGGGACTCTCATTTACACACTGTGCTGGCCAGGTGACAGGTTGACCACCCAGGGCTCTGTCATTTATACACCATGCTGGCCAAGTGACAAACTGACCACCCAGGGGCTCTGTCATTTATACATTGTGCTGGCTGTTTAATGTATTGACCACACTGGCCAAGTGACAGACTGACCACTTGGGACGGCATCATTTATACACCACACTGGCCAGTGATGGGCTGACCACCTGTAGCTCTTATCATTTACACACCACACTGGCCAGGTGATGGGGCTGACCACTCAGGGATCCATTATTTGCAAATCATACTGGCCAGGAAACAATCTGACCACACGGGGCTCCATCATTTACACACCACACTGGTCAAGTGATGAGCTGACCACCCAGGACTCCATCAAAAACATACCACACTGGCCAGTCATGGGCTGTCTACCCAGGGCTCCATCATATCCACACCATGCTGGCCAGGTGATGAGCTGACCACTCGGGGTTCCATCATATATTAAACCACACTGGCCAGGTGATGAGCTGACCACCCGGGGCTCCATCATATCCACACCACGCTGGCCAGTCAGGGACTGACCACCAGGGCTCCATAATTTATACACCACACCAGCCAGATGACAAGCTGATCACCAAGGGCTGCATCATTTACCCACCTCGCTGTCCGGTCATGGGCTGGCCACTGAGTCCTTCAGCCCCTGTCCCACACTGGCCAGTCGTGAGTTGGCTCCTGGGTCATCATTTATGTACTGAGCTAGCTAGGTAATGCAGTGATCACTGGGGCTCCCTCCACCTTTCATATGTGATGCTTGATGGGCGTGGACTGACCACTTGGTCATTGATTTATGGACCATGCTGACCACTGGCCTCACATGCCTCCCGTTTGGGGTAAGGAGCGGACACTCCACAGCACTGAAGGAACTTCCGGCAGTGGGGTGGGTCCCTCATGGTTCTGAGTCTATCAGATGCTGGAGGGAGGCTAGTGAGGACCCTGGACCACTAGTCTTGCTGTGGAGAACGGGCACGGAAAGTCCCGGGAGCGCCTGCTCCTCCTGCGGCCTTCGTGGCCGTAAGCAGCTGGAGCTCATTCCGAGCATCTCCCCACTGCAGATTCACCCCTTTTGCGAATGGACCAGAGGACACGCCCGAGGAGATTCTGGCGCGGATTGGCAGTGGACAGTACGCGCTCTCTGGAGGCAACTGGGACTCTATATCAGATGCAGCCAAGGTGAGCGCCCTCTCACTTGTCAGGTGTGGAGTCCGGGGTGGCCCTCTCCACGGTGGGGGCGCGAGGGCACGCCCTGTCCGAGATCCGGTGGGGGCTTGTCCCTGGTAGATTTCAGGCTTGCTCCCAGGCACCCGGCAGCGCTCAGTCACGGACTCCCTTCTGCTGGTCACATGTCCTTTTTGTCCAGCCTTCTCTGCCGGTGGGCACCATCCGTGGCCCGGCCTCTCTGTGAGCCCCCCACAGTGGTCACGCACTCGTTGACAGCGTCAGACTCCTCTCTGACCTGGGGGTGGTGTTTTTAGGTTGAGCCCTTCGGTCCTGTGTGCAGCAGAGCTGGACCTCCTGTCCACCCTCACCATCTCTGCCGTGTGTCTGTCCATCTCACTGGCACCCTCCCCTCCTTCTCCGGCCCCTCGCCCCTCCTGACAACACCCCCAAAGTAGGTACAGTACACCCTCACCTCCAAGGAGCACCTGCCTGCATCTCCTCCCAGCCGGGTCCTTTGTCCCTTTGGCAGCCCGTGGAGTGTTCAGTCCTCATCACCGACATCACAGCTCAAGACATCACGTCCTCAGTCATCCTTGTTCATGGTCAACTTCCACGTGTATGTGGCCCAAGTGAAAGCATTATGGCTTAGGCCCGGTGCACCCTGGTCTTCAGTGTGACATCCTTGCTCTTAGCATTTTCACATGGTCCTTGGCAGGGGATACCCCAGGGCACATACATCTTTGATTTGTTGACTGCCGCTTTGCTGGGTGCTGATTCTGGATCCGAGGAAAATGAAATCCATGATGACTTCTGTCTTTTCTCTCCCTCTTTCTGTTTTTTAAGGCAGAAATACAATGGTCTCAATTGCTTTCTTTTTCATTTGAGTTCAGACATAAAGTCTTCATGCTGAAATATATTGTAGCAAATAGAAACCCTTTTTGTGGGGCGCGTGTTAGCTGTACAAGCGAACAATCTTAGCAGATGATTAATAAAGATGGCAAGAAGAGTGCCAGGTGATACAGTACATGTGGCCGGAATCCTTTGCTTCATCCAGACTTTCTCTTTTAGTGAAAATTTCCTAAAATTTCAGAAAGACACCATCGCCAGGGCAGGCTGTGTCTTCCCCGCAGGTGTCCTCCGTGCGTGACTTTCTGTGCCCGTGGACAGTAGTTGCGGGGAGATTCTATTCTTCGGTCTTCCTTGGACAAGTAATGAGTCATGATAGATGCCAACTTTTTAATCTGTAAAGAGTGGAAATGTTTGCCCCTACCTCACGTGGGGAGAAGCAGGCTCAGAGAAAGAGAGGAAGATCTTCAACAAGATACGGTGACCACCACCAAGGGCTGGAGGCTGGTAGAAGTTGTGTGGCCGGCGCGGGACACAGCACAGGGTGCAGATCTGCTGTCCAGGGCTGTGGTGGTCACAGTGAACTTCCCTGCCCCTACATCGCCGCCTCGTGAAGGGTGTGAGTCCACGAGAGAAGACACGTCGGCATCAACAAGTCTTCTCAAAGATCCGTGCGACTGTCAACCACTAGACTAGAAGCCTATTGAAATCCATTTTAGGAATTTTTATTGTGATCCTGGTCACAGTCTTCCTATGGAGCGAGAGTTTAGGGGTACAGCAAAACACGTGGAAGTCATAAACTGGAAGGATGAAGCCAAGCAGAGACGGAGCCCTTAAATGAACGATAGAAAAGTGCAAGGTGGGGCCTCACACGGGTGGGAGAGCTCTTCTGCCATTCCTGGGTGCACTGAACACAGACTGTGGGTTCTGGGGTCGTGACTATTTGTGAATGAGAAGATACTTTTGTACATTGTTTGAATTCGTTCATGTCTGTGGCAGATTTGTTAGACTTCAGGACCATGAGCTTGGGAAGAACATTATTTTCCCTGTTAATAAACCTTAGTAAATGATGGGAATCTTTTATCATTTCTGCATCTTCCCTGTCCTCACTCCACCACCACCCTCCGCCCACCTCTTCCAACAGGACGTCGTGTCAAGGATGCTGCACGTGGACCCCCAGCAGCGCCTGACAGCCGTTCAAGTCCTCAAACACCCATGGATCGTGAACCGAGAATACCTCTCCCAGAGCCAACTCAGCAGGCAAGATGTGAACTTGGTGAAGGTGCGTACACACCGCGGGGTCTGTGGGCTGGGGTCCTGGGGAGCCTGGAGAACCGGGCCTGCAGGGGGCTGAGGTCCTGGGGAGCCTGGAGAACCGGGTCTGCAGGGGGCTGAGGTCCTGGGGAGCCTGGAGAACCGGGCCTGCAGGACTGGCCAGCAGAGCCCAGATGCCTGGCTGGGGTTTTATACCTTGTCTATCACACGGTCCACTCAGAATTGGCTCTGAGCAATTGGGCAGCTCTGCTTGGAGGGGGAGGGGAAGTCCAGTGCTGCCGCTGAGCCCACAGGTCTACAGACTGGCAGTATTTAGGGGCACCAGTGACCCCACCACTGGGACATGGGAGTCCCCGAGGTAAAGTTCTCAGCTCACAGTGGCTCCTATCAGAGCAGCATCCACCCCTCGGGCCCCCATCTGCTGCCCGTCTCTCATGAGAAGTCTCCACCGTCCCCCCACTCCAAGCCTCAACTACCCCCAGGTCCCCTTAGGAGTCCTGTCTAGAGTCTTCCAGAGACTCCCAGCACCCCAGTGAGTGACCCCACCAGTGGACAAGTGTGCTGCTCAGGGTGGACACCATGGCACTGTCCGTGAGCTTGTCCAAGGTCTGGCCCAGGAGCCCCAAGGCAGGCCTGGCCCAGGGTCACAGCGCAGGCTCCCTGAGGTTAGACCTCATGAGGTCCATGCTGGAGGAGAGCAAGGGTCCTGAGTCGGAGCACAGGCAGGTGTGCAAGGACGGGGCAGGACAGGCAGTGGTGACAGGCCGAAGCCTCCTCAGGGGCCTCCACGTGCCACCTCTGTCCCCAGCCCTGCTGCCCCCATGTCACACTTCTCTCCTGAGTGGGGTTCCCACCCCCTATGTCACATTCCTCTCCCAAGTGGGGTCATACTTCTTTCCTGAGTGGGGTCCTTATTCCTGGCCCTGAAGTCCTTGCATTACTGTGTTCTGTCTGGGGGTTCATCTGTTCACAGAGCTCTATCCAGGGAGCCCCCTACCCCCTGGGCCATGACCTTTGCTTCCGCCCCTCCATGCTCACCCCTCTTCTCTGCAGGGTGCCATGGCCGCCACCTACCTGGCTCTGAACCGGACTCCTCAGGCCCCCCGTCTGGAGCCAGTGCTCTCCTCCAGCTTAGCCCAGCGCCGAGGCATGAAGAGACTGACCTCCACCCGCTTGTAGCTGCCGCGGCCTGCTCCCCGGGCGCTCAGCCTGCTCCCAGGGCACGCTCGGCCTCACTGGGGACAGGAATGACCCATGTCCACACTGTGTCTGATCTGCTGTCACTGTCCACGCTTCCTCAGCCTGGGAGGCCCCAGGAACCTGAGCCGCGCTGTGCCAACCTCACTGACCGCCCCTCGTCCCCACGCACGGGTCACCACTCTGCCCTTAATGCAGCCGCAGCTCCAGACCTCACTGCCGCTTCCCTCGATAAGAGGCGTCCAGTGTGTGGCCAGCACCAGCAGGACGCCCGGTGATGCGCACAGGTCCATGCTGGGCTCTCGCACACCCGCCAGTTTGTTCCGGAACCTTTGCTGTGAGGGGCTCCATCCCCCTGCGCTTTCCTGGGTTGCAAGGGGGGCAGGGGCTGCCCCGTCCACTCCTGAATAATCCAAAGAGTTGTCCTCAAGTGGCCCCTCATTCACGAGGACGGTGCGTCCCTCTGTGAGTCACACTCGGACAGAAGGGCGTCCCCTGAGTCGGCCCGTTTCCCTGTGCTGTCACAGTAGTGGAGGGGGACCCTGCCCCTCACTTCCCGCTTCCTCATTCCCTCCGATGGCTCCCACTTAGGGCAGCCGGCCCCCACTCTGCCCCAAGTCACCCCTCGAGCCCCTGGGCATCTGAGGGCTCTGACCGCTTGCAGAGGCCCTGTCAACCTCATCCCTCACGGGGCCAGACCTACTTGTAGGTGTCTTTCTGGTCTGTAGGAAACTGTGATGGGGTGAGCATGCACCCCCAGGTTCTGGGGCTGGGTCTCTGTGTCACCTGTGCCTGGGGAGAGCAGTCAGGGTTGGGGAGGTGCCTGAGCCCCGAGGGGCTTTGTAAAACTGTGTGCTGTTTGGTGTTTCTTACGCAGAGCTGTTTGTACGTGGACTTGTGCAGTGTTGGTGATTAAGTGCAACAATTGTGTTTCCTGGTGTGGGTGGGTGTGTGTGCGCGCGCGCGCGCGCGCGCGCGCACAGTCCCCTGCTGTCCCCTGGCCCCGTGAGGGCATCCCTGTCCCACTGCAGGCCGACAGGAGGCACTGCAGCTGACCTTCCTAACTCGTTAGTCCACATGGGATGGAAGGATTTTGGGTGCCCTGATGGTCATGGTTCCTGTGTCTCCTCATCTCCACCCGAGTGCCCAACTCCAAACAAAACCACCACCATTGCAGAGCTGCACACGTAGCTGGGGCGGAATGTCTCTTGACTTTAAATTGTCTGAGAGCCACCTCACTCAGTGAGGCCCACAGAGGGCAGAGGGCAGCTGCTGGCCGAAAGGCTGGAGGTGCCCATCCACCCACAACACCTTGGAAAAAAGGCCTGGTGGTCACTTCCCAGGGCTGGTGGCTGAGACGGAGCCCAGTCCTGCATGGCAGGCATAGGTGGCCACGAGTCAAATCCACTCACCACACGGGGGTGTCTGTGTCCCCTGCCTCACTTCCCTCTGGCATCCACCTTCTGACACTGGCGGCTGGACCAGTCTGTCCCCTCCTGACCGTGAGCTGTGACCCTGCAGAGGATTTTCCATCGAGGCCACTTTTCAGAGCATGAAGACGATGAGACGGAGCCCGAACCCCTCTTTCTCCACAGGAATCTCAGAAGAAAAGGCCATTCTTGGTCAGCCCATGGGGGCCAGGGTCAGGGACAGGAGTGAGGGCTGAAAGACTGGAAGAAGGCCTGTGGCCTTGGACCCCACCCCTGAGCTTGTGCAACAAGGATGCGGCAAGTCTTGGCACCCCAACAATAACTGGTGGGGACACCTGGTGACCTCGTTCACGGCGCAGCTGCGTGCTAACCACTGCACCACCGGGGCGTCCGAGGATCAGATGCGCACACCCACACCCGCGCTCCGCCGGCTCTGACTCCTGGCACCGTGGACAGAGAATTCCGCCCCCAGGCCTTGTGAGGCCAACTGTTGGCAGAAGCAGCCTGCACCTTTGCTCCTGAACCACCTGTGCCTCCCATGGTCCCCTCTCTACTCTTGTGTGTCCACACACACCTTTCCCTCCCACGGCCCCGTCTACCTACGTGTCCACACATGTCCTTCCCGTGGCCCCCTCTCTACCCTTCTGTGTCCACACACACCTTTCCCTCCCACGGCCCCCTCTACCCACGAGTCCACACCTGTCCTTCCCGTGGCCCCCTCTCTACCCACATGTCTGCACACACCTTTCCCTCCTGCAGCCCCATCTCTACCCTCATGTCCACACCTGTGTCCTTCCCTAGGCACCCTCTGCACCCTTACACATGTCGGCACTCACGTATCCCTCAATGGCCCCACTCTGACCGTCAAGTGTCCTCCATGCACATGTGGCCTCCCGGCCTCTGCATGGCTGTCCCCCTCCAGCATCCACAGGCTCTCCCCTTCTCAGAGCCCCCCACCGCCCCCCTCCCAGAGACCCTGGACATGTGGTGATGTGAAGAAGTCCTTGATGATAAGAGGAAGGACAGTGCCCAGAGGTGTCCCTGCACTTCCCTGCTGCTGGCCAGGCCCCACATGACAAGCACACACTGACCAGCCCCCCAGGACACAGACCACCGACACTCAACAGCCTCCTCCCCGCACCTCTTTCTTGACACCTGTTTGGGGGAGCACTTGGCTCACCCCATCATTGTGGGATCTGCCGGGGTCAGCCCACACAGCGGCCTAGACCACCTCCCCTGGCCTTGGAGGGCCCCATGGAGTCCTGTGTTCCCGTCAGCAGTATTGTCCCCACGTCCATGTCCTTTGTCACGTGCACACAGGGCTTCGGTGGCCCCTCAGCCATGGGGTGATGTGGGACCTGAACTCTGCAGCTCAGCTCAGCGCTGCTGCCCTTCCCTTCAAAGAGGGTGGGGAGGCGGAGAGCGAAGGAAGACGGGGGGTGGCGCATGTCCCTCCCCCGTGGAGGGCAGAGGGCTGTGACCCTGGTGGTCACTGCTGACCCCTGGCTTTGGCTCCGCGGCTCGGCGTGTGTGCGTGCGCGCGCACAGTCTGCCCTCACACCCCCTGTGCTGAGTGCCAGGCGGAGCTGTACAGATATTTATTATGCTTTCCACACTTTCTGGTAGTTTTTTTGAATAAATATGCGTTTTATGAAGAACAGTATTTTCCTCACATAATAACTTGTGCACTTTCTCTCTGGTCACAGTTCTGCAGGTGGCCCTTACAGCTCTGCCCCCTCACACTCTGTTCCCAGGGGCTGCACAGTCCCTGGGGCTTTGATGCAGCCTCTTTGTGGGGGGACAGCTGGCCCGGCCGTCCACAGCTGTGTCTGTGTGCCCTCTGACTGGCCTGTGAAGACACTGGCAGGAGACCGGGCGGTGGTGGTGGTGGTGGTGGTGGTGGTGGTGGAACATGGCCACAGGCAGACGCCTAGGACAGGCCTCAGGGACCCCCTCTGTCCACGGCCCCAACCAGGAACACCATCCACTCTCTGTCGAGATTAGAACACATCTGCCCCGTGGGCTTTGTGCGCCAGCGGAACTTCTTTCCTTTCGGTAAATTCCTGGCCAGTGTGCCAGCAAGAGAAGGGTACACACATGAAGCGCCACACACGTACATGGAACATACAGATGCGTGCAAGCCACGTTCATGTGCATTTAACCACGCACCACATGCATCGCACCACATGGGACAGGCATGCACATGCAACAGAGCCACACAGGACACCTGTCATGCCACGTACAGCACACAGTATGCCTGCATCTACCACGTGGAACGAACACGCACACCCCACACATCGCAGGTGCACCTGCAGCATGCCCGCCGCATGCACCACAGCCAGCTAAGCTCTCAGCTGCTCGCCAGGGAGTGGTGGGGAGACCCACCCGGGGACCCAGGGAACACCTCGGGACACAAGCGGGCATCGCCCATCCCAGGAGAGGAGCCCACCCCACTTCCGTGTTCTCACTGTTTGCAGGCTCTCACGATCAGTAAATAAGTGTCCCAGGTAAATAAACGTCTTCTTTCTCAGGACAGAAATTCACCCACTCAGACGTTGTCTGAGTCCCTTCTGTCCCAGGCCTGCTCTCCAAGCCGCAGATCCGAGGGAGCCAAGCCAAGCCCCATGCAGCAGGGATGGAGCACAGGAAAGGGGACTCCGTGGGGTGTTGGGGGGAGCGTGTGGGGCCAGAGTGTGCCCGTTCCTGATGGGTCCTGAAAACCATGTGCCTGGTGCCTCGAGTCAACCAGCCATGGCATTTCCCCCAGCCCAGCCCCAGGGGTGGAGTGGATCTGAGCTGCATAGGGTCAGCCCCTGGATTTTTTGGCAGCTGCCAGGCCTTTCTTCCTGGGCACCTGGGGGATGAGCTGGACCAGCTGAGACGCTCCTCTGCTTGAAGTTTCAGGGGCCTCTGTATGTGTAGGGGTCCAGGACACACCCATCCTGCAAGTCCTCATTCTTCTGGGGTGCAGATTCCCTGCCTTCCAGGGTTCAGTCCACATCTTGTAGTGTTGTTTGATTCCTTCTCCAGTAATAGCGACAATTAAGGAGGCCTAGTAGCGTCCACTTCCTAAACATGCCTCCGGAAACTCTATGAACTTTGATAAATGTCGATAGTTGTAGAGGGGCTTCGGCCTTTTGTTCATAGGGTCACTGAGTCGTGCTCAACTCGAAGGCAATCAACAAGGGAGCTCTGGTGGCCTAGAGGTAAGAAGCTGCCCTGCACTCCTGAAGGCAGGCAGTTCGGATCCACCAGCTGCTCTGCAGAAGGGTGGGGAATCTCCTCCTGTGCAATTAACCGTCTCTAAAAGCTGGCTGGTCAGCAGTGGGTCAGTTCTGATTCAGCGGTTCTCAACAACAGTGGCATAGCGGTCAAGCTCTGACTACTAACAGTTACATCAATGGTCCTAACCCAGCGGCCACTCCGAGAGAGGGTAATGTGGCAGTGTGTGTCCGCCAGCATCAGGCAATCCCTCGGGAAGGGACTGAAGCCCGGCCACCTCCAACAGCTCGCCACGGCCGCACATCTTAGCAGGAGGTACAACACTGCCAGA